AAGATTTTATTTATTTATTTATTTTCCCCCCAAAGCCCCAGTAGATAGTTGTATGTCATAGTTGCACATCCTCCTAGTTGCTGTATGTGGGATGTGGCCTCAGCATGGCCAGAGAAGCAGTGTGTCAGTGTGCGCCCGGGCTCCGAACCCGGGCCGCCAGCAGCGGAGCGCATGCACTTAGCCGCTAAGCCACGGGGCCGGCCCAAATGGATAATTCTAACAGACTTCTTTTTTAGATGTATTGCTTTTAAATGAACAAAGGAGCAGAGAGGGGCAGGAGCTCCTAGTCCTAAGGCATCAGCACACCCTTGAGGACCTCCTGAGGAGGCCTCCCAGTCCTTGAGTGACTGTCACTTGGACAGTGATGATTGTACCCCAGGAGCCCCCTGAGCACCTTGTGAGAAATCACAGACCTCGGGGGAGCAGTGGCTGTGTCCCTCCTAAGGAAGATAGGGGCTGCACCAGACCCCACACACATCCTGCCAACACCCTTGTGAAACAGTAGGGAGAAACTTAAACAGTTCCTACTCATTTTACAATTGGCAGCAGGAAAAAGTTACTCTTGCTCTCTAGTGGGTATCTGAGGTCTTCGGATCCCCAGGGAATCTTCGAAACGGTGAGCGGAAGTTTTCTGTGCTCAGGAAAGGTAGAGTATAAAGGCCTGACTCCCTCCTCTTGAGGAAGGGATGGAGGCCCCTGGGTTCCCTTGGCAAGGATGTTTCTCAGCTCCTCGTCTTTCAGGCCATTCAACAAGGAACCATCCAGTGCAACTTTGCCGGGGTTGCTTTGGGTGACTCCTGGATCTCCCCTCTTGGTAAGTATGGAATTTTCAGGCATTTCTTTACTTCCTTTCCCCATCCTTCCCTGTGACTTGGGCTGTGTTGTGCAGATCAAAGAACAAGGCAGTGGAATTTTCTGGGTCTTCAGAGAAGTTAGCACAGAAAATATTTGCCTCCGGAGCATCCAAGAAATTTGGGGATGTGAACTCATTTACAAAGCACCTACCATGGGCTGCTGTAGGCTGAACCAAGTTCTCTTATTTGATTGTCACAACAAAAGAATCAAATTTTACAATTGAAGACATTCTAAAGAGTCAGAGACGTGATGAAATTTGCCCTCTGACACACAGAATGAGTGGCCTGGTCAGGATTCAAACCCAAGTCTGTTTGTCATCTCGTCCCTTCAACCACCCTGATGCCAGAATGAGCATTTGGGGTGAAGTTCCCATCTGTTGCTCATGTTGATGGTGAGACAAGGTTACCATCAGGTCCTGCAACTCAGAGGTTCACAGTTTCACAACCTGAGCATGGTTGGGAGTGCAGATAAAAGTTGTGTATGTTGCAGACTTCTGGGGTGTGGCCTCAGACATCTGAAATAATCACCGTGGTGGGGTGAACACAAGATTTCTAAATCTCTGCGATATTGACATTTTGATTCATACAATTCTTTGTTGTAGGGGGCTCTCTTTTGCATTGTAGGGTGGTTAGGAGCATCTCAATCCTTTAAATGTATTATCACCCCAGTGTGACAACCAAAAATGTCTCCAGACATCGTCAAATGTCCCCTCGGGGACCAAATCACCCCCAGTTGATAACTACTGTTCTAACGTAACAAAAGGTGACTTTTCACAGGCAAAACCAAACTGTAGAGTAAGAAATCATAAGAGAAGTTGCCCCTGGAGGAGGGAGGAGAATAAACTGGAAAGGGACACAAAGGAGCCTTCTAGGCTGTCTGTGCTCTGTGTCTTGATTGGGGTGGTCATTACATGAGCATTTATCAAAACTCTTCTAAATGTACATCTATGACTTGTGAGGTGTGATTATGCCTCAGTTTCTAAAATTAATAATTTATAAAAGGTAGTGTTTTCCCCCTAAAAGATAGAGGTTTGGCTTGTCACAGAGCCGTACTCTGGCTGGATTTGGGATAGTCTGATGCTCCTTGGAATGGTAATTTCTTGACCTCATTCTTGGCAGCACCAGGGTAGGACTGACATGGTATAACTGAGCTCTGTGAGTCAGCGCTGGGAGAAGGGCTGTTTGTTTGTCCTTCCCGAATGGACCACCTAGGACATCAGGAAGCTGCAGAAGCCTTGATCAGAGGCATGAAGGTCCAGCCGGTTTCTTACCAGATATCTCACTCAAAATTACAGTGCTGGCCCTTACGCTTCCTACTGGGGTCTCATCACAGTTTCCTAACAACACTAAGCACTTTGCATGTGTTAACTTCATTTAATGCTTACAACAACTCCACAGGATGGATGCTGTCATTATCCTGATTTTGCATATGATGAAACTGAGACTCAGAGAGGTTAAGCAATTTTTCTAGAGTCACACAGCTGAAGCCAGGATTCAAATCCAGCGTTACACTACACTACTTCCACAAGACCAATAAGTTTAGCTTCATGGCTTTGCAAATGCTATTCAGCCTGTCCAAAATCTATCTTTTCACTTTGCCATGACCCACCTCCCCTTATAAATCTTCCTACCCAGATCTTACTCCCTCGTTCCAGATCCACTTCAAGTATCACCCCTCTATCCCAGAAATACCCCCTTTTTGAGGGAGAAGGACTTAATTTTCATGAACAGTTAGTAATTGCTTGCTAGGTAGTAGGTATTGTGCTAGGTGCTAGGAAAGATACACAGACACACTCCATGTCTTCAAGAAGATCTGCACAGTTCAACGTGGTACCCATAGCCGCATGTGACTATTCACATTTCAATTAATTAAAATACGGTACAATTTTCAATTTTTCAGTTGCACTGTCCACATTTCAAGTGCCCGATAGCCACACGTGGCTATTGACTATTGTTTTGGACCACAGATAGAGAACATTTCCATCATTGCAGAAAGTCTATTGGACATCTCAAATCTACATCAGAGGTCAGCAAACTATGGCCTACAAGTCAAGTCTGTCCTGCCGCCTGGTAAATAAGTTTTTTATTGGGACACAGTCACGCCCATTCATTTACACATTGTCTGGCTGCATGGAGGCCGCAACAACAGAGTTGAGTAGTTGCAACAGAGAAAGGCTGGCCTGCAGAGCCAAAATATTTACTAGTTGTCCCTTTGCAGAAAAACTTGGTCAATCCTTGGTCTAGATCAAACAGGGAATGGAATCCATGGGAGAATTACAGGCGATTCTGCATTTGAAGAAAATAAGACACCTGCTTGAAGGTTAAGTGGAGAGGAGAATGTACTAGGTCCCAGAGGACCTGGTATGCCTGCATTTCTCTGGGTGCCCTCTGAAGAATGGCAGTCCAGTGAGATGCTAGACCAAGGGCTCCATGGTCAGTGGAAGTGCTAAACACTGCTCCATCTCCACAAGGTCTCACAGGCACATTAAAGGCTCTGAGGAGTCCTGCAATACAGAAATGTGTTTTATTTTGCATAGCCACAAAGATATTTAACCAAAGAATCATTTTTTCTTCTAATCCCTAGATTAAAATCCTGCAGAACTGAGGTTGTTTGAAACATAATTTGAGATGCTTGGCCTTAGGGAACATTGAAGGCTTTGAAGCAAAGAAGTGACATATTCAAATGTGCTTTATAAGTTATGGTTCTTGATACCTTGTTGGCACATCTCTCGGTGGCACTAGCCTTACCTAGTGGCATGGTAATTGTGAACTTGTCTAAACCAAGCCCAACTATTCTCTTCTAGGGAAGGCATTGTCTTAGTCATATTTATATCTTATAAAGCTCCTTACAGGCCCTTAGTAAATTCTCAGTGTATTTGTGGAATAGAAATGAATTGATTGGCAGTATAGCCACACACACTTGAATTACAAAATCATTAGTCCTCTTCCTTAATTAGCTCTTAGCAGAAGCTAGTGTCCCTAAATCGGAGAAGCGAGCAGGATGGAAAGCAGAAATGCGAGGGTGGGGAAATATTTTAAGCTGTCAAAAGTCTAGAAGTCTACAGATGGGAATCTCCACTGCGCACGCGCAGCCTGCCTGTGGTGCCATCACTGACTATGACTCACTCGCTGGGCAGTCTCAGGCCAAATTAATGTGCCATTAGTCCTGAGTCAATAGAAAGGCCCCCACACCCTCGTCCCATCTCCCAGCCAGCGAGATGTCAGCCCTGCATGGGCACTGGTGAGTTAAGGAGCCTTCAGACCCAGGGCCATTGGGTTTCCTGCTTCTGTCTGGTTCTGCTTTGGGAGGGAGGTTAGTTAGGTTTTCCTTTGGGAGGAGAGAGCCATGACAAACTTATTATGTCCTTATGTGGTTTCCTTTAGATTCGGTGCTCTCCTGGGGACCTTACCTGTACAGTGTGGTAAGTAGACAAGTCCCTACCTCTGCACCCTCCATGGTGACCAGCCCAGCTGAGCTCTTCTGGCTCTGTCCCCAGGAAGGACAAAGCTAGCTGGGTTTGCCTCTGTGGTCGACTCTGCTCCTTAGGGACTCGTAGTCCATATCAAATTGGAGACCCTAAGCAACAGCTGGCCTCGGGGACAAATTTAAAGAAACATCAGCACAGTTATCCCATTTCTCCAGGTACAAGAAACACCTTTAAATTTTTAAAATCCCCCCAACTTTTTATTATAGAAATTTTCAAATATGCAGAAAAGGTGAAAGATCCCAGTGAACAACCATATCCCCACATCTAGACTCAGTTAACATTTTGCTGTGTTTCTTTCATAATAAATATGTGACTTGTAATGGGATGCCTTCGTATGTAAGCTCCCTTTTCACCTTCCTCCCCCTCTTTCTATTACCCATCCCTAACTAAGCAATGCCAGGTTTGTGTCTCTCAGCCAAGTGGGCCTTTTTATTCTTGGTTTGCATTCCAGTCTCTTCTTGACAACCAAGGTCTGGCAGAGGTGTCTCAGGTTGCAGAACAAGTGCTGGATGCTGTAAATAAGGGACATTACAAAGAGGCCACCCAGCTGTGGGAGAAAGCAGAAATGGTCGTTGAAGAGGTAACAGGACACACGTGGGGGCCAGCCCACTCGGCTTTTTCGCGTGAGTGAAGGGCCCCTAGTTGGTGTTGTCAGGATTGGGGTCTATCCCGAGACTCCCCTCCAGTCTGAAAATGATTGCATCATTTTCATTGAATTTTCAAACAATAAATCTAATGGTTCTGAGCAGTGATAGGGTTATAAAGCCACCCAGGCCTGCAGGAATTATCCCTTGATGAATGTGGATTTTATAAGAAAGAATATGTCTTGCAGAGGCAAGTGGTTGGATCTTGGCCAAGCAACCCTCTGCCCCGAGTGAGCCAGAAGGGAAGAATGCACAGCTGAGGACTCGAGTGTGTCGGACCCTCTGCCACTCTGTTCTCCCTATAAATTAACACACGGGCTGTGGTTTTCTCCTGCATCCTCTGAGCTCCACTTATATGAGCTGCTTGCTACCCCCAGGAGACCGGGCTGACATGGCTGGTCTCTGAGCCTCCAGAGCTGCATTTGTTTCTGGTCCAAGCAAGTTTACGAAGTCAGAGCTGTCCTTGGATAAGATGGAGAGCCAGGTGCTTTTCTGTTCTGCAACTTCAATAATGGATAAATTTAAAAAACAGCCAAACATACTTTTATATTTCAGAACACGGATGGGGTGAACTTCTATAACATCTTAACTAAAAACACTCTCATGTCTACAATGAAGTCAAGCCTAGAATTCACCCAGAGTCACCTAGGTGAGTGAGCCTTAAAGGTGCGAGAACCCTGCCTCAGCCTAGAGAGGCATCCAATTTTTTTTAAAAGCTTCATTGACATGTAATGTATATACCATAAAATTCACCCATTTTAAGTGTATAATTCAGTGGTTTTCAGTATATTCACAGAGTTGTGCAGTCATCTCCACCCTCCAGTTTTAGAATGTTTCCATTATCCTAGAAAGATCCCACATGTCCGTTTGCAGTCAGTTCTCATTCTGCTCCCAGCCCCAGGCCACCACTACTCTGCTCTGTCTCTCTAGATTTGCCTTTTCAGACATTTCATGTAAATGGAGTCATGCAGTAGGTAGTCTTTTGCATCTGGCTTCTTTCACTTAGATAGAGTTTTTGAAGTTTGGAAGCCAGTTTCCGCACACTGAATCACAGTGTCAGTCCTCTTAAAGGCTGGACTGAGTCATCTTTCGGCTGACCCAGCTTCACTGCGGCTGCCGAATGCTTGGCACCTTCCCTCCCTAAGAGGCACATAAAGGCTGCGGGAGTCCTAGATTCCTCTTCTCAGCTGATTTCCTTTGGCTGTGCCGGATAATCTCAGTGGCCCCAAAGGATATAAAATGCAGCAATCAAAACTATTAAAGCATCTCCGCTTTCAATGTGTTTCTTTCTTCCTCCATATGGGGTGAATCAAGGTGATGCTTTTCATTTTCCAGCTGAAAGCCTCCTTGTGCACAGCATCCCCAACAGTTGGAAAAGAGGTCCTCTTGGTCTTGTTTCCCGTCCTTTGACTCACTGTGTACCAATTTGTCTTAGTTCGTCTTTCCCAGCGTCACGTGAAATACCTACAACTGGACGCCTTAAGTGAGCTCATGAATGGTCCCATCAGAAAGAAGCTCAAAATCATTCCTGAGGATTGCTCCTGGGGAGGTACTTATGTGACCTAATTAATTGCCATTTGTAGGGTTGGGGGCAATAGAGGTACAAACCTAAAGGCCTTAATTTGTAGAAATTTGTTGGTGATGATGGTTTGTTGCACGTAGAACAGTATTATTATCCACATTTTATAGATGAGCAAACATATGCAGAGACAGTAAATAACATGCCAACAGTGGTTCAAAATAAGGGGTTCATAGGGAAGTGGGTGGGGAGAGAAATGAAACTATTGGTTATGAGTCGATAACTGTTGTAGCCAGGTGTGGGTACATAGCAATCATCACTCTTTTCTACTTTTGTATCAGTTTGAAGTTTTCCATAATAAAGCATTGAGATAAAAAAGCCAGGCCCAAGGCCACAGCTGGTTGCAGGTGTGACTTCCAGGCAGAGGTCCTTTTGGATGGGTTTTGACCAGCTCTCTCTGGCCGGCCTCCCCAGGCATCCTGATGCTGGGTGTGGTCCCGTGTCTACTGCATTCTGGTCTGAAGGCCATAGTGAGGAAATACTGGGGTCCTCAGAGACCAGGGCTGGGTAGAAATCTTGGATAAATTCCTGCTCAGTCCTGTGGAGGCCGTGGGCAAGTGGGACTCCCAAGGTCCTGGAGAGGAAATGTGTCCGAGATACCCCAAAGCTGTGGTGGGGCAGCCTTGCTCTGGCGGCCCCTTGACAGCTACTGAGAGGCTAAGACTCGGCTCCGGCCCTGGCTTCCTCGGGGGACCTCGGCCATCCTCCCAACCTGCAGTCAGCAGAGGACTCATCCTAGACCTGGTGTCTTCATTTCCCTTGCACCCCTTGGAGTTTTCTAGAAATGAAGGAAAAAGTTAATTAGATCAAATAAAAAGAATATGCTATCAGAGCTGCAAGGGATGGTGGGTACAACTGTGGGGAGCTGTCATGGCACTGAGAAGAAAGAGATGTGAGCATTCACAGGGGGCCAGTCCAGGTCGAGCTCACGAGAGCACATCTTTTCAGCTCAAGCCCCTCATTTTATCTTTATGATGGTGTTTCTAGCCCCAGCTTCTCTGGTTATAGGGACCTCCCTCCCTGCCCAGTGTGGCTGGATGGGCAAGGTAACTACATTGTGGCAGATGATGACTCATAGAGAAAACTCTCTCTGGTTCTAGATGTGTCTGTATACAGCCTGGAAAGAACAAACTGTCTTTGGCCAATACTCCCAGTTCCAGTTCGTGGTTAAGCCTACATACTGTGGAGTCAGCCAGGCCTGCATTCATATCCCGGCTTGCCACCAATTAGCTGTTTCACCCTGGACATGTTCCTTAGCCTTTCTGGGCCTCATTTTCTTTAACCATTGCACAAGTTAAGACTTTACCTCCCAGGGTAGTGATGAAGAGGAGATGGGATGTTGCTTGTAAACTGCTTCCTTAGCACAGTGACTGGCAAATAAAAATAAATGTTGTTGTTCAGTATGAGGAGGACAATGGTGGTGGCAGGAATCCAGCAGGAATACTGTGCTGACCCTCTCCTCTCTTGCCTGGGGCTACATCCACATAGCTTTACTGAGGGCTAGCTCTGAACTGGTTTAGGTCTGATTGGGTTTATTACAAAGGTAGCCCCACTTGTTCAGAACTTGGCCCTGGTGTTGCTCAGCAAAGGATGAAAACTAACATCAACCCAGAAGCACAGTCTGTTCCCTGAGAGGACCAGCTGAGAGGGTATTTTCTGAACCTCCCTGTTTCCTTGGGCATCACCCTTCTCTAGGTTTCAATTCCTCATTGAAGTGGCATCTGCTGTCATCACAAGCGCTTGAGTGAATAGAGCACGTGTGCTGTTTATGCTTCCCTTCCACTGACCAGCTCAGGGCCAGTTGGTCCCTGTTGGTGAAGCCCCCCTGCGTCCAGTCTTGGTTAGATGCTGCACAGTGGTTACATTTGGGTGTTGGAGCCCAGGATGCTCTGGGCTGAAAGGTGCCTCTTGTCCTGGCAGATTCCAAGCTGCTACCTCTTTCTCCTCCCCCCGTGCAGGCCAGGCTACCAATGTCTTCCTGAACATGGAGGAGGACTTCATGAAGCCGGTCATCAGCATTGTGGACGAGTTGCTGGAAGCCGGGGTCAATGTGACGGTGTATAACGGACAGCTCGATCTCATCGTGGACACCATGGGTAGGAACCCGCTCTGGGGGGCACGTGGAGGCAATTTCATGGGTTGAGCTGGAAGGGGACTGGCCTCAGACACTTCATCTGGGGGCTGGTGACACTGAAATGCCAGGAGGAAGGCCATTTCCTGTTACATCCATCCACCCCTGACCTTGACTCTTTGAAGAGGGCGGAGCTGCCTGAGGCTGTGACCCCTCAGAGAAGCCTGGGCCTGTCTAGTTTTTGAGGCCCTTAGGTATGATTAAGGAAAAGAACACCACCTACTCCCATCACAAGAGTGAAAAAGAAGACATTTTCTTGGCCATTGGACAAATACGCTATTTAATTGAAGGAAAACCTCGTTTCTGTGCAGTGTCACAGATGGTAAGCACTGGGGGGTGAATTAAGACTAAACCCTAATGACTGTAAACCTGAGGACCCAGGGAAGTGGTCTTGGTGGAGTCCCTGTTGCACTGGCTGCCACCGTCTGCTCACTTCTGGTTTCAGGAGGGCCAGGTAGAGGCTCAGAGGCAGGTTCTCAGAACCAGCAGGCACATCGAGGCACATGGTCTGGTGCGTGTGATGCGCTTCTCTGAGTCAGCAGGACTCAGTATTTTTGTGACTTGTAAGCCAATGGCCCTACGGACAATTTGAAAAGGTTCTGCATTTCTTCCATGGACTGCGTAGGTGATCTGCATTACTGTCCCCTCACCCTTTAGACTTCTCAGTCCTCCTGACAGCACTGTCACCTCCAGAGGTCCCCAGTTTCCTTCCTACAGAGCATATGGCAGTGAGAGAGTCAGAGGCAAAAATAGCCAGGCTGAACAGCTGCTAGGTTTCTCCCTGTCAGCCTGGGTATCGCTGGGAGCTTGCTAGAAATGCAGAATCTCAGGCCCCACCCAGACCTATGGAATCAGATTTTGTATTTTAACAAGATCCCAGGGTGAGTTTTGTGCACGTTACGGTTTGGAAAACACCAAGTTATAGAACCTGGATTTTTTTTTTCCTACTCCATCCAGCTGTTAATGCTGGGCCCTTCCTTGTCCCACTTCTCAGGTCAGGAGTCCTGGCTGCGGAAACTGAAGTGGACAGAACTGCCCAAATTCAATCAGCTGAAGTGGAAGCCCCTGTACTGTGACCCTAAATCTTCAGAAACGTCTGCTTTTGTCAAGTCCTACAAGAACCTGTCTTTCTACTGGATTCTCAGAGCCGGGCACATGGTGAGAGAGAGTCAGCTTTTGCCCCAGACTTTAAATCGTTAGGAGAGGGAAGCCTCAGGCAGCGGATTATGCGTGTGTGTGCTGTCTGGATTGGTCTCACAAGTGCTTTGGGCTTGGGCATGTTTCGAAGTCTCTGATGAAATTCCGCTGTTAGCACTTCATTCCTTTGAGGCTAGAAATTCTCTTTTTAAAAAGCAAATCCTCCTGAGGGAGTTAGGCTGGGCTCCCTGTGCTTTACTCTTTAGTTTAAATGAATTTAGTATTACTTTCCTCTTAACAATTTGTCCAAAGGAACAATTTGTCGTGGGGGACCAAGGGAGAAGTGTCTTTCCTTGACATTTTCAGGAAGTGAGAACCAAAGCCCGGGAATCCAAAAAGCTGAGTGGCCAGCACATGGTACGAGGTGGGGGCTTGTCTTCCAGCACCGGCGGCTCCAGAATTGCAGTTTGGAAGAAGCTTTGGGTGCAGAGATGGGCAGTGAGACTGTACCGTTCCTGTGCTTGGACAGTGAACTTATTATTTCCCTTAGGTTGTATGTTGACTGGGTCAACGTACATGGGCTGAAGGAGATTATGGAAGGGTGAATCCACTACACGCATGCATATGTACACACAGGCACGCGTGCGCGCGCACACACACACACACACACACACACACTTGCAAAGGAGCCAAAGGGAGGGACGCCAGGAGGCAGAAGGGCCCGGATGCTTCCTTCATGGTTATGCGTTGGTCTGTCCACTTAAACTCAGGGTCTCTCTTCCTCCCGGGATTGCAGTTTCTGGGAGGAAGTTAGTTGAGAGAGACATTAAGGAGCCCTCCAGCCTGCTCTCCCCTCTTGGCTCCATTGTTCCTAGGACAGAATCTCCATTGAGAAGGGGCTGAGGGCAGCAGTCTGGCTGGAAAGTGGGCCCAGGGGACTGGTCTTAAAGCTCTGTTGGCACAGCAGGCACATAGTGTGCTTACTTGGATGGCTGAGGAAGTGCTGAGAGAGATTTGGGGGTGACCAAGGTGCCCTCTCCACAAGCCAATCCTTAGGGCCATTAGTGGTTCTCAGTTGGGGTCAACTTTGCCCCTCAGGGGACTTTGGCAGTGTCTGGAGACATTTTTCATTGTCACACTTGCAGGAGGGTTCTACTAGTATCTAGTGGGTGGAGGCCAGGGATCCTGGTAAACATCCTACCATGCACAGGACAGTCTCCTGCAACAAAGAATTGTACCGCCCAAATGTCAGTGGTGTCAAGGTTGAGAAACCCTGACACAGAGGAAAGGCAGAGCTGGGGTATTTACAGACTAAATCTCACAATATTTTTGGTGTCTGATCACAGACCACTTATTCTTACACGTCTCTGACTCTCAGTCTCCTCTTAAGAACTTCCCAGAAATGAAGACGCTGCATGCTTTAAGAGAAATCAGAGTTTCTCTTTGGTTCCTTTATTTGATGAGCAAACCTTTGAGTGTCTCATGGCTGCTAATCACTGTGCCTGGTACTGGGAGTACAAAGATGGGTGGTAAACCATCTCTGTCCTCAAGGAGCTCATGGGCCAGAGGGGCAGACAGGCAAAGAGATTCTAATAAGATGGGGCAAAAAATGCTAAGATGGGGGTTGGCCAAGGGAAGATGGCCCAGCCCAGGTTTGGGGGTCTGGAAGACTGGGCCTTAAATGATGAGCAGGAGTTAGCTAAGTAAGGAGGAGAGATGGGAGCAAGGAGAGGCACAGGTGCAGGTCCAGAGGAGCCTGCAGACAGCCAAGGCCTCGGGAGGGACACTGGGGAGAAATGAGGCTGGGAAGGGAGAGTGTATGCAACGTTAAGGGGTTCAGACCTATCCAGAAAGCAACAGGGTGCCGTTGCATGGTTTTAAGCAAAGTAGTGAGATTACCAGATTTGTCTAAGAAATATTTTAGCAGCAGAGGGCATGGGACAAGACTAGAGCAGAGAGCCAATCTAAGAGATTCTTATGGTAACCTAGAGGGGGAGAAGTGGAGGGATTTGATGAAGTGTTGGAGGGTAGAACAGCCAGGTGGGATATCCATAGGGCAATTGAACACATACACGGTGTATATATGGATCTGGAGTCAAATATTTGTCCTTGGAGATAGAGGTTTGGGAGTCAAACATGGAAAACCAGTACGGTACACCAGTATTTAAGAAGCAGGAGGCAGAATAAGGACCCGAAAATGAGACTTGAGAAAGGAGCAGCCAGAAAAGTGGGAGGGAGACCAGGGACATGTGGCACCCTCAGAGCAGAGAGGGACGAGTCGTGTGGGTGCCGCAGAGAACTCAGGTGAAGGACTGAAACGTGAGCGATGCTTTGGTTACGCTGATGTCTGTTGTAATCCTGGCAAGCCTCGTTAGTGGAATGGCAGGAGCAAAAGCCAGAATGGAAAGGTTGGAGCAAATGAATGAGCAGTGAGAGAGAGAAGACAACTTCCTTTAAGAAACTGGAAGGAAGTAGCCCACCCTTTTAAGAAACTTGATCTGGAGAGAGAAAGAACAGGCAGCAGGGCATACAGGGTTAAGAGGACATTTTTTATGTGGCTGTATGTATCTGAGTACCTTCAATACTGACTGGGAAAAGCTAGTAGGAAGTCTTAGAGCACAACACTATTACTAGAGAGGGGTCCCTGCAGAGGCAGGTAGGAGGGCAAGGGAGGAGCTAACCACACGCTTGCCCGTTTCCTCTTGGTTTGTCACAGATAGAACAAGAGATCTGTTGGGGGCAGCCTGAAAATAGCTCTTGGAGACTGTTATTAAATCATCCGCAGGCCACTTCCCGTTTGGTTGATTAAACGTCACTTTGCCGTACCCCACTGAGCCTGTGCCTCCTGGTGACCTTGCTTGGCAGGAGAGTTGAGGACGGGAGAGTGCCATAGAGAATCGTGGAATTTCAGAACTTGGAGCCGTCTATTATTCTACCCCCGTCTTTGTGGAGGAGAAACTGAGGCCTCTGCCCCTCCCCCCCCCCTTTTTTTTTTTGAGGAAGATTGGCCCTGAGGTAACATCTGTTAATCCTCCTCTTTTTGCTGAGGAAGACCGGCTCTGAGCTAACATCTATTGCCAATCCTCCTCCTTTTTTTTCCCCAAAGCTCCAGTAGATAGTTGTCTGTCATAGTTGCACATCCTTCTAGTTGCTGTATGTGGGACGCGGCCTCAGCATGGCCGGAGAAGCAGTGTGTCTGTGCACGCCCGGATGCAAACCCGGGCTGCCAGTAGCGGAGCGCACACACTTAACCGCTAAGCCACGGGGCCGGCCCCCGAGCCCCTCCCCCTTTTGATGGTGGATAGGAAGATTTTTTAAAGGAATTATTCAAAAAATCTAAGGGAAAAACAGAACAAAGTTGAATAATAATACAAAAATGGGGTGTCACCCAAACAAACAGTCATGTTTGTTTGTATTTGTTGACAGCTTTGCTGTTAGCTTCCTTCTAGGCCTGTTTTCTACTCCATTCCCAGGCTGGAATCCCTCCTACACAGAGACTCCTTGAAAATGTTTAGAATCTTCCCTCTTCCTTGAACAGGCTGGGTCCTAAAACCATTAGCACAGCCCTTATAAAGAAATCAACAGATCTGCCCCAAATGGAGTAGAAGATTCTTTCCTAAATGCCAGCTTCTCCAAGCCCCCACCAGCTAACATGGTTGGGGCCCAGAGGAGCTTTTGTCTGGCACAGGGGTCATGTCACAGAAGGGACCTCCTCTTTAAGGGGAGTGCACCCAGATGCAGCTGTCCTCCCACGTTGCTGTCACAGAGCTGGCACTCTTCCTGGGAGCAGGGTCTCAGAATGTCACCCCTGAACCCAGCCCCAGGAACAGAACCAGGGGCACTAACTCGGTTACTGCTTGGTTCTAGGTTCCATCCGACCAAGGGGACATGGCTCTGAAGATGATGAGGCTGGTGACTCAGCAAGAATAGGATGGAGTGGGCTGGAGGTGAGCTGACTTGGCCTCAGGGCACAAGAGCTGAAGCCGGCACCCTGAAGCTGTAGGAAGCACCGACCTCCCCAGGAATCCGACCTGGACTGTGATTGTCCCTGTCAGCTTCCACACAGAACAAAATCATTGCCTCTGTGGCAGCTTGGAGATCATTTCTGCTTCTGAAAAAAATCTAAGTTTTTTTTGTTTTTTTGTTTGCTGAGGAAGATTAGCCCTGAGCTAACATCTGTGCCAGTCTTCCTCCACTTTATGTGTGAGTCACTGCCTCAGCATGGCTGACAAGTGGTATATGTCCGTGCCTGGGATCCGAACCTGTGAACCTGGGCTGCTGAAGCAGAGTGCTCTGAACTTAACCACTACGCCACGGAGCTGGCCCCTAAGTTTTTTTTTTTTAATGAATTTGTTTTCATCAACATGAAGGATTGAAATAGATTAACATTTTCTTATTACAAAAGCAAATTATGTGATTTATGGGAAAAAAGGGAAATACAGATAAACAAAGAACAAAATAAATACTCATGTATTCCCTTCCCAGGGATAAGCACTGATATCCTTGCAAATCCTTTTTTGCTATAAATAGATATATATTTTTTACAAAAATGAATTCCTCACTGTGTCTTACTTTACTGTCTGCTTTGTTCACATATCAGTATGTCCTAAACACCTTTTCATGCCAATAAATGTTCTTCTGTAACATTTTTAACGGCCGCTGAGCGCTCCATTTTATGCATGTACCATAATTTATGTACCAAATGCCCAGTTGTTTCCCATAAGCAATTTCTAGTTTGTCGCTGTTATAAACAGTGCTTGGTGATTCATCCTGATAGTTATATTTTCATGCACATCCTTATTGCTTTCTTACAATAAATTCCTAAAAGCATGATCATTTTAATCAAAGGATTGTAACATTTCTTTAAAATTAAAATGATGAGTTCAGGACTTTTAAGTTTTAATTCGGGGCTCAAGGTCTGCATAAGGGACCTGATAGCTTCTATGATGGCCCTGAAAGAAACACCACCCCCTGCAGTTGTGGAGCTGAGATATCGACAACCAAACCCCAAGTCTATTCCTGCAGGATGTGAGGAAAGAGTTAATAGCAGGTTATGCGCACATGACCAGCCCCTTCTGATCCAAGACAAACGGGCTTCCTCAGGCAGAAGCTCTCCACGCTTGCGCCAGGGTTCGCTGTTGGAAAGAGAGCGCTCCTGTGTATGTGCCCGTGGACAAGGAAGAACATGAGAGGCTTGTGCTACATCCCCCTGGACTCCACCAATGAATACCATTCTTCTGATGCTTTTGCTGGAAAAAATTTTAGCTATGAGTATAACTAGTTACTGAGTCTTGTGAGTCCTTCTGGCATTGAATTACAACACAGATTGAATTCCTAACCTCACAGGGGCTCTTTTGTTAGAAGTTAGGGCATTGGTTGGGAAGGAATTCCAGTGTGAACGTTAGGATGTGTCATATGCGCAGATTGCAACGAAACTAAGGACCTCAGACCTCTTTTGATACCAGAAGCAGCCCTTCCATCCCTGCCTGAGGAGGTTATTCTTCTCTTGCCTTGAGATCTTATAATCAGTTCCCAGACTTGCCCATGGCCTGTATTCTTGCTACATTACGTTCTCTCTCAACCCACACCCATGCCTTCATGGGGAACTTGCTACGATCAGTCGACTGAGGAAGAAAAGTCTCGGGCTTGGTTTACAGACAGTTCTGTGTGATCCGTATGCATCACCAGAAAGTGGACAGTCATTGCACTAGAGCCCACTCTGAAACAGCCCTGAAAGATGATGGTGAATGGAGAGCCTCCCAATGGACAGAACTTGGAGCAATGCACCTGTTTGTTCATTTAGCCTGGAAGAGGAAATGGCCAGAAGAATGAGTCTGCACCAAATCATGGTTTGGCTGGGTAGTTGGACTTGGAAGGAACATGACTGGAAAATCAAAAGGAGGTCTGAGCAAGAGGTATGAGGATAGACCTCTCTGGATGGCAGAGTATGAAGATACTTGTGTTCCATGTGAATGCTCACCAAAGAGTAGAGGAAGATTTTAATAATCAGGTGGATAGGAGGCCCCATCCTGTGGACATCAGACAGTGTCCTTTCCCAGCCACTCCTGCGGACTCATGAACAAAGTGCCCTTGGTGACAGCAATAGAGGTTATGCATGGGCTCAGCAACATGGACTTGCACTCACCAAGACTAACCTGGCTACAGCCACTGCTGAGTGTTCATTCTACCAGCAGAAGAGACAACACTGAGCCCCTAATATGGCACCATTGCCTGAAGGGATCAGCCAGCTACCTGGTGTTAGGTTGATTACATTGGACCACTTTCATTAGGGAAGAGGCAGCATATCATTCTTACTGGAATTGACACTTCCTCTGAAAATAGATTTGCCTTCCCTGCCCACAATGCTTCTGCCAAAACTACCATCTGTGGCCTTACAGAACACCTCATCCACCATCATGGTATTCACAGCAAGTGAAATGCAGCAGTGGGTTCACGCTCTTGGAATTCGCTGGTTACCGTGTTCCCCATCATCGTGAAGCAACTGCCTTGACAGATGGTTGATTGGCTGTTTGAAGATTCAGTCCACAGTGCCAACTAGGTGGGACACCTTGCAGGGTTGGGGCAGTGTTCTCCAGTATGTGGTATGTGCTCTAAATCAGCATCCATCCTCCCATACCTTGGATTCAGGAGTCCAGGAATCAAGGGATAAAAATGAAAGTCACTATTAACCCTAGTGATCCAATAGTCAAATTTTTGCTTCCCATCCCTGCAACTTTAGCCTCTGCTGGTCTAGAGGTCTTAGTTACACAGGGAGAAATGCTTTCACCAGGAGGCACAGCAAAGATTTCATTGAACTGGAACCTGAAGCTGCCATCTGGCCTCTTTGGGCACTGAATCAGCAGGCACTGAAGTATTGGCTGGGATGATTGATCCTGACTATCGAAGGGAAGTTGGGAGCTACTACACAATGAGGCTAAGGAGAGAGAATGCAGGCGATCCTTTGGGGCACCCCTTAGCACTCCCATATCCTCTGATTATGGTCAATGGAAAACTACAACAACCCAATTTAGACTGCTAATGGCCTAGACCCTTCACAAAAGGTTTGGGTCATTCAACCAGGCAGGGAACTAGGACCAACTGAGGTGCTTGCTGGGAGCAAAAAAAAATACCAAATAGGAAGTGGGTGACAGTAGTTATAAATAGTAGCTGTGACTTTGTGACCAGTTGTAGAAATGAGAACTAGAATAGTTATGAGTATTTCTTCCTTATTTTGAGGTGAATATATTTTAATAAATATTAACCAAATATTTTTTTTTCATCTCATCCCTTTATCATCTAACTTAAGATGTGCTCATAATAAATAACTTTATTGGTAAGTATTTAAGTTACAAGATGTCCAAAAGTGAGTGTGAATCAGCTAAGGAAAGAATGAATATTATCCAAAGACAAAAAGGGACTCCAATGCTTTTCCAGGGAAAGGGTTAGTGTTTTTAGTTATAAGAGGGATAGTTGTGTCATGTTAAGCATGACTTTGTTATTGTCTTTATTTGGAGATTAAGTGTGGTTTTAAGGCAACATATGTGGGTGTCAAGTTGATAAGGGGTGGTCTGTGGTGTCTTTGTGATGTTTCAACTTGCCCAGGCCAAATTACATTTTCCAGAGTTACCTTTCCTGAATGTTTCTGATGAGAATGGCCCACAAGATGAGAGATTCTTGTAGAGATTTTGAGGATGGAAATGAGGCGGCAGCCATTTTTAGCTCGAACATGTTGTCATTTCTCTGCTGGCTCAGCCTCCCCTTCCCTTGGATCCTCCTGGAGATCCTCGACCTCCTGGGCCAGGTGAGTGTGCTCAGCTGTGGTGAAGGACCCAGCCTCTGGGATGGGTTTCTGTCCAATGGACTGTCCTCATGTCTCCATCTCATGCTTGTGAGATTCAGATTGTTTTTGCTCTTCTCTACTTTACATCTTCCTGATGGCTTGCCCTCTGTCCATCAATCTCCAGCATCAGATTTGAAGACAACAGCCTTAGAAAGATTCCCTACCCAGCTCCCACGCTGCATAAGTCAAATGACCATAACCCACACACACACACGCATGCACACGCATGCCCAGTTCTGCTTCTCTGCTTAATTCCTGATTGACACAGTTACTTAGATTTAATTATTTTTTAATAGATTCAAAGTTCCCCACAACTGGAATCTGGATATTTGATAATGTCTTTCTGTCGCTGATACATGTGAATGGGAACTTATCAGATATAGAACTCTTGAGTCACATCTTTCCCATATTTTTGGCATCTAATGTTGCTGAGAAATTTGAAACCAACTTGACTTTTTTTTATTTTTAATTTTATAAACAATCAGTTTATTTTAGTACCTGGATGCTATACACATCTTTGTTTAATCTTGTAAATTGGTAACTTGGGATGGTTATGTTAATGGTTATAGTGTTTAATTAACTTTGCTTGACATTTAGTGAGCTTTTTGATCTACAGGTTCAGATCTCTAGTTCAACAATGTTTTCTAATATACATTTGAATATTGTTCCAAGTTCTTTTTCCCACTTTATTGTCCTTTAGTTTTCATTCCAGGTACTTTTAATCAAGACTGACATCAACATCATTACCTCTATTTCCGATCATGTCATCTCCTTACTTTGATGTTTCTAAAGTGCTTATATTTTCTGTTTCTCCTTAATTTATTTTCCCTAGTTATGCCAGCTGCTGTTTCACCTTATTACTGCTGTCTTCTCATCTGATTCTTAATGGCTTATTTTATGGACTCTGTGTTTGCTTTAATTTCCTTGAGAAGGAGCAAAATATTTAGAGTTTCCTAGTACAAACCTTCCAAGGAATGTTCTTATCTATCTTTTGTATTTTGTGTTAATTTCCTCCATTTTAGTTGAGGTTTGGGTATTTTTTTCATGTTTATGTGTTTGCTTTTTTATGCATACACATCTTTGAATGAGGATAGATGTAGAATCATCTAATTACCCATCCTGTTCATCTGGTTATTTTTCAGTTTGTCCACTTAGTTCTTATTCAGGAAGATTGGATATTGTGGACCTATATGGACTGTTTAGTCTTTAGCTGCCTACAGGAGGTAGATGCTGGGATCTTGTGTAATAAGTATTGAGAACTTATTCCCTGTGGCCCACTAACGGCAGAGGCGCTCAGATTTTTTTGAGTTCCCTTGCTGCAGGAGGGACCAACCGCTATGGTAAGAAGCAAAGTCCAGAGAGACCTAGGGACTCCTTATCTGAAGGGTGTATTAGTTATCTATTGCTGTATAATAAATTACCCAGAAATATATGTAGTGAACTTAGAACAACATTTATTATCTGAAGTTTCTGTAGGTCAGGAATCTGGGTATGGCTTAGCTGGGTCCTCAATTTGAGGGTCTCTCTCAAGGCTGCCATCAACGTATAGGCCAGGGCTGCAGTCATCTCAAGG